GGGCACCCTGGCCGGCCGAGGATGTTCCCGGGGCCGGCGAAGGATTTGTCTTCTTGGAGGGGTGGCCTCCGTCTTTCTTGTGGTTGTGGAGCTCGTCGGCGTCAGCGTACAAACTCCCATGCTGAAGCGCCTTTGCATATGACCTTGAGGGGTCGGTGATGAGGCTCCTTGCGTAGGGGGTGCTGCGGAGAGCTCCCTGATAGAGGACGAGGAGGGTGCACTCATCGGCCCCCTCAACTTCCTCGGTCTCCTTCGTCCACCGATCTATGAAAGACCGGAGTGACTCGTCGTGTTGCTGCTTGACCGAGAGGAGATGGGTGAAGTACTTCTTCGCACGCTTCCTCCCGGCAAAGTGGGTGAGGAAGAGCTGGACAAGGTCCTGCCATGAGTCTATACTTCCTTCGGGGAGCGCGTTGAACCACTCGTACGCTGGCCCTTCAAGAGTGGAGAGGAACCAACGGCAGAGGTATTCATCCGACGCGTTCACCATCAGCATGTTGTTCTGGTAGCGGCTGAAGTGTTCCTGGGGATCGGAGCGGGCGTCGTAGGTCTTGATGGCGTTTCCCCTGTACTTCTCCGGGATGGGATCAGAGAGCACCCTGTTAGTGAAGGGAGTCCTGGTCCTGACCTGGATGACAGGGTCACCTCGTCCTTCAGCCAATTCCCTCTTAAGGGCGCTGACCTTGTTCATTAGTGCATTGAGGCCGGGGTCATTGGAGGCACCGGCCGTGGGAATGTTCGCCGACTGTCTGGCCTCCATCTGGGCCAGTCTCCTTTCCAGCTGGGCGATAACCTCGTCTCGAGGGTCCCTGACGGCTGCAGTGGCGCCCTGTTGGTTTTGCATGCGCACCTCGTCGGCCGCGTTGATCTGGTGACGCACGTCGTCCTCGTGCAGCTTTCCCTTGCCTTTGTTCAGGTGGGGCTGGTCCGCTGTCCGGGACACAGACCCCAGGCTTTCACTTGGCGAGCCAGGCCAGCGTTCACCAATCCGTCCCGCCATCCTCTCTGATACCGGACGACGGCGTATGTCACCCAGCCTATTGAAGGCAGAGGCTTTTCCACGCGTTGGGGTCGGTCCGGGTCGAAGAGGGGAAGTGGGGTGGGAGTGGGACGACGTCGTGTCCTGGGCTATCACCCCCTCATCGTTGCCTAGCTTGATGGCCAACGGTTGGGGCTGAGGAGGTGGAGTGATGTTCCCCCCAGTCCTTGGCATGAGTGCGCTGAGGACGGTGGGGTTCTAAGCCAGGCTGGCAATGATGACCGATAGTGCGGCCTGAACCTGCGGGTCAACAGACGGAGAAGCCGTGGCCAACGGTTGGGCCGTGGCATTGTCTGCCTTCTCTGTGCGCTTCTTATCCAGGCCGATGCGGGCATCAGGGGCGCCGCCGTTGAGCTGGTTGCGCAGATCCGCCGTGAGGTTGATGGCCTCCTAGAAGACATCCCCTCCTCTGACCTGGTCGGCCGTGGCGTCCTCCTCACGTTCCTTGTTCTCCTGGTCCTCAGGGATGGCTTTGCTGACGAGGTTGCGGTTTGACTTAGTTCGTCCCATGATCAGTGGTTAGCTGTGCTTGGTAGCGACGAAGGATGCCAACTTGATTGTTCTAGCTCTCAAAGAGAGCACCAAATGATAGATTATATTCTAGAGAGAAGTGAGAGCTAGAGAGAGAAATGCAAGTAAATGCTTCAATAAATGATTTTCCAACCCCTACAACTACCTCCAGAGGAAGTATTTATAGGAAAAATACGGGCTGGGCTCCCAAGCCTTGGGCTTGGGAGGCCCATTTACAACTGGACCACTATTGGGCCGGATACAAAGTAAATGATGGAGTATACAAATGAGTAAGTGTAAAATCCGGTTCTGGGAGTTCTTTATGGCCGACGAGGGCCCTGGCCGACGAGTGCACGGCCGACGAAGACCCGGCCGACGAGGCCACCCGGTTCTTCTGGCTTCCGGATCATGTTCAGGGTTGACTTCGTCCCGGTCGATGAGGGTCATCTGGCCAATGAGGGTCCCACTAGGTGACAGTTGTGTCTTCTGTTTTCCTGAGTATGTGGGTCCTGGGGCCTAGACCCATATACTCCATCAGTATTACTTTCCTAATTCATGCTTGAGTGTTCTTACGTAGCTTTCCTAAAAGCCTACGAGCGTCCTATTTTGGACCAACAGTGTGAATGCCCAAGATGATTAGAGACATATTAATTTACAAAATTAAGATTAACTATATTATTATCAAATGAATTTGGGAGTAAATGATTTTAAATAGTAAAAATACTTGTGGTTACAAGTACTAGATTCGCACCCGCGCGATGCGCGAGATATTAATATGTAATAGCGATATGATATTTTTTGTAAATATTACTTGGTCGTGTGATTTTGTTTACCATTTTATCCTAATTATCCCAACTGGAGAACCCTGTGTTGCCGAGTTGTGCATGATTTTCTTGAATCCATATTGTTTAATGTAGGATTGGATTTCTTTTGTCCGTTAAAAAAAAATACTTGGTCGTGTGAAATGAATGCAAATTGTCATAGACGTAACATGCATAATAAATTATAAGTAAAGATCGAACAGTGAAAACTCAGAGATAGGTAGTAAGTTTGTTTTGGAATAACTAGAAGTAACAAAACGTTACTCCGTATAAAATAGCATGTCTCGGTATCTTCATCGCAGATCAATATCTCCAGTGCGATAACTTACACATTGCGAAAAACTTCCTTATAAACTACATTGGTGGTATGATCAGTTGGTTGGTCATCTTCATCGCAGATCAATGTCTTCAAACCCTTAGGATTTGTTACTCTTGACACTGCAACATACAGTTGATAATGCGTGAAGACCGACTTTGTAAATAATAGTCCAACGTGAGAGAAAGAATGTCTTTGACTCTTATTTATGAGCGATTCACTAATAGTTGGAATTATTATCAATATCAATTTTTTCTATCTGTACATTATAACAACCTAAATAATTACAAACAAATTACTTTCCTAAAATTAGAATCCGTAATACCCATTTCCAATTATAACAAATTTTCCTGTCAATTTTTAAATATTACTCCGTAGTACTACGTACTTATTATGGACAGCTCATTATATTTTTTTAAGAGAATAGTAATACCCATTGCAACAGCCTACGGCCCATTTTAGCCCAACATCAACAAAACCTAAAAGCATCCAATATAAGGTTCCATTTTCCATTGTCGTACAACTCATATGCAGACCATCGACACATCCGATCAGTTCATCCGATACCTCTCATACTGTTGAGTACGTGTTGATCGCGGTTTATTGTTTATAGAATCAGTGTGATTTTGTTGTGACTTGTGAGATGCCATTTTATCCGAGTGTGTGAATTTATACGATGGATGGGGATACCGAAAGACCTCAAACCATGTATAGTGCCCTCTTGCAATTTGGGTATGTCCCTATCATCTCTGTCTTCAGTTTATATTTTTTGAATGATTATTGATTACTATGTTTCTATCACTTTAATTTTTTGTGCATGACCTCAATTTTTATCATTTTTTCGATTATATTGTTCACATAATCAGGAATTTAGTGATATTTGTTTTGTTTTAGAAAGGGAGCCCGGTCTGATTTTCTATGTTGGCTGCTGAATTTGTTCTTAATATATCCAAGAAGAGCGTAATGTTTTCAGTTTAACCTAGCAATCAATTCACTCTTTTAACTAAATTTCGGATATACACATATGAATACCCATTAGTTTGAGATAGTACCTTGCTTTGTCTAAAGAGTATTGATGGTGGATTGTACTTCATTGAATGCATTTCGTAATATTGTTTCTATTATTACTATTTTTACTTAATGATAATTATAATATTTTAATATTATAATATAACATAATGATATGGTGCATATCACATGTTTTGAACAGTCAGTTTTTAAATATTAAAGGTTATTAAAAAAGTTTTCATTTGTCATAATACCATGGCTTATAAACCTGTATATGTTATAATGATTTTAAGTTAAACAAAAACTGTTCTTAAGGGAGTAAAGCTTAAGTTCCTGCTTCATTTATATGAAACCCTATTTTATTTTTACTACATTCTCCAACTTTTTATAATCCAATGTACTGAAACAAAAGATCACTTCTTTTTAAAGATTGTAGATGTATATACTATTACTAACCTTGAAAAAAAAACTATTACTAACCTTGAATAAGGCCTACTGCCTGCCTTGGTATTTCAATACTGAATTACCTGGTCTTAAATTTTAAGGCCAAAATAAATATGCTCAAAAAGTTGAAGTGCAAACTTACTCTTAAGAATAACGGTCTCATTTTTTCCTTGTTTCGTGCACAAAACTAATACTCTTTGATGTGTCTTTTCAAAAATTAGAATTAAACGTTCCTTAAAAATTTAGATGTGTTTGGTTTTACTCTTGATCATTAAAGGTAACTTATAAAATCTTGATCATTAAAGGTAACTTATAAAATCTTAGTTTCAAATAACCCCATGTTTTGGATGCTTCTTGTGGCACTCGGTGCTTTTCCCAATTTTTTGGAATAAACATAACCTGCAAAACGAAATTGCCCATCACTAATTAACAGATCTTCACAACACCTTTGTAGCTTATTAGTTTTGGCAATGGAAAAATTATATACATGAAAGATGTATAACATTTGAAATCATAAAAATACACTCATATCTTACATGTCTTTTTATTTTGACTTGCATTCTAACATGTGGCATTTTCATCCCTCTCTGTAAATATATTTAAATATAATTATTAACATTAGATGAACACTACCAGTCTGGCATATTTCCTCTTTGGGTTGATGAACCTGCTATAGATCAAGTAGTAGTAGTAATTGGTTGTGAAATGCTTGCTGGTGGTGTGGTTTGCAACCAATATTGAGGGTATTTATAGTGGTAGAATAGAGTGTCTTCTAAGAGCAAATTGGTTTTTATCCAACGGTCCATTGTACCAAAATCTTTATAAAAGATTTTGTAGTACAATCATTAAATGAGTTGAACATCCACCAACACTTTCAACCAATAAGCAAATTATACTAGACAAAATTATTCTCCTTTACAATCAAGAAATTGAAAAATTCCCTCCCACACACTGACACACACAAACACAAACATACAGACACAATTAAAGATAAAGGCATGGTAAACGTAGACTGGGTATTAGCTTAATAAAAGGGTCGGGACCAGCAATCCACGAAGCCTTCATGGTTTATTCTAGTATGTATAGAAATACATGAAACACTTTCAGTACTGCCTAAAGGTGAGATTCAGACGACCTGGTTTAAGAGCTGTTTCATCTAATAGATACTTTGGTGCAGTTTCTGGTTTAATGGAGCTCACACCATGAAATATAAGCCTCGATTGTCCACCAAATATTAATACGTCTCCTGATTCTAGCAAGATTTCTTTGGCCTTCTCTATATCGTTCTCACTACCATACACAAATTTTGCAGTGTCACCAATGGAAAATGAGACCACTGGAAGCCCTTTATCGATGCTTTTCCAACTTTCATCTTTATCCTGCAAAGGAGCAGCAGAAACAAAAGACAATGAGAAACTATCACATTTTGCTATAGCATAAAAGAAGCAAATGATTAGGTGTCAAACCTGATGTAGACCAAGTCTGCCACTGGCTGTGTAGAAATTGACAATGCAGATGTTTGGTGACATTAGTGGAAGATCAGCATCTATTATTTTGCATTTAAGTTGTTTTTCCATATAGGATCGGGACTGGTGCAATGCATTTATAACCAAATCATGAAACTCATCCGGTATTTCTGGAGGCTTTGCTCCATCCCAAGGCCTTTCGTCAGAGTACTGGCTGGTTTCAGGATCCCAGTTTTTACCCAAGCACATCATCCTCAAGTGAAGCTTTGATCCATCCCTATACCCAGGCTGGTAGAACCCTCCATGCCCAATACCCAGCTCTCGGCAAGTTTTCACTAGTCTGACCTGTCAAAAATTTTGACAAAAAACTTTTCTAAATTTAAATTTAAGATTTATTGCAAAAGAAAAAAAAAATGAAAAGAAACGGACAAAATGGTAACACTGTTTTTGAAACTCCATGATAAGAAATACTCTGTACATGATAAAACAACCACTGAAAAGGCAGAGGATAAAACTTAACCTGGTCCAACAAGGGGATGAACTTCTTTAAATGAACCATACCATCACATAGAATTTCAATGTTTTGACCATCCATATTGCGCCTAGTTTCATTCCTTTTTTTCCTGTTCATCTCAAACAGAGAAGGATTTAGCTTAACAACGTTTTTGGTGTTCTTCCGGCATATATCAAAACCAACACTTAGGTTCTCAGATTTCTCAACATTGCTTGCTTCATCCTGAGAGCACTGCTCAGACAGGTCTATCTCCTCAAAATGCTTCATTCCAAAACCAGAATCAAGAGCATGAGTACTAGTACTCTCATCTTTCCTTATTGAGCTAGCAACCTGCTCACGTGGTCCTACAGGAGAGGATGCATATTGGAAACTATCACCACGCCTGTTTGGATTGTCTAATAGGGACATACTCGGAAGTTGCTCTGAGATGGCATCAGCTAACCTTTCCTTACCTTGCCTTTCACATGAAAAGGATTTAATATTATTCCCCAAAGGGGATCCTCCACGCGGCCGACCACTTCCACCCTAATTAATAAAAAAACTACCCATTCAATTAGAACTATCAAATGCAATATGAAATGAAATTCACATATTCAAGACATCAGGAATATCTACTAAATTCAACCTAATTCCATTTTATTCTAAGCAATACCATACACACAAAGGGATCATCTTCTCCCAATACTATTCTCCCTCCCATGTATGCATTAAATTCCTTGATAACTTAGGATGTTTTTTTGGACTCTTTTCATACCCAGACCAGCCCAGATCAGACGGTCAGACCAGACTTAAGCAGACCAAAACAGACATGACTTGAACAGTTATAAAATACATAGAGGTCAGACATTTGCCAGACCAGACCAGTTCAGACCATACCAGGCTTAAACAAACCAGTTCAGACCAGACCAGACTTAAATAGACCAGTTCAGACCAGACCAGAATTAAACAGACCAGACCAGAATTAAACAGACCAGACCAGTAGATTTCAGTCCAAAAGAAAACATCCTTACAGCATATCTATAATACATTATCATTAAACTCATGTTGTGGACTTTTTAAACCTCATTATATATATTGTTTTGTCAACAATTTTGAAAATAAAGTAAGAACGATTTAGAACCATACATACATTACTAAATATGATCTAAAACCATCTTAGTGGGGGGACAATAAAAGAAAGATGAGACATTCTTAGCGGGACAGAGGGATTACATTTTAATGGTTTACCGTATTTATCTTATTTAGGCACGAGTATATACTTAATTCTTTGGTCTCCTTCTGCAGATTAAACATAAAACTTATTGGTGATAGAAATCAATGACTTTTCTTTGCTTTGAAGCTTTAGAGAGCCACTCCATACCACATTAGAAATTGCAACTCATGTATCTAAATAATTCCTCGTGTTATAAAGTCTTTCACAATTTGATAAAACATCTTTACCCAAATTTGTAATCATTATTGCACCTTTAAATTATTTATTTAAAATGACTAAATATTTTAATGTGCATACCATTTTTCATCAAATGTCGCTTCTACTATAAGATACATGATCAAGAAATCAAAACATCTTAAGAAGACACATTTTAACAACAAAAAACAAAAACATTAAAAAATGGTAACCCTTCACCAAAAGCAATTAATCAACTTTTAAGGACCACAAAAAAATTAGAACGTAAACTTTAAACTCAACAACCACAAAGATCTAAAAGTTAAGTACTGCACAATTTTGGGATGAGACAAAAATAAATTATTTGCATCACTGTTTGAATTTACATATACACTTATACAGCCAATTTCCTATCCTAAGAGCATTAATTCAAGACAAATCATTCTCATTTAATCTTTTGAAAACGCCTAAAACTATAAGCTCAGATATAGAGAATAGATTACAGGAGCTGAGAAGTTAGTAGATTGACACGACGAATGTGAATATCATCCTGGGGGGCTACACTTAAGAGTGCTCACCGATCACATCACACCAATCAACTGCAATGGGAAACTTTGCTAACTTTCCTTTTTGTTTGTTCTTAAAACTTTGTCATTTTCTTTTTAAATTAATGAATTTGTAGTTCTCTTATTCCACACCCAAATATATGTAGGCTGTAGGCAAAGTCCAACAGGACCGAAGAACTACAATTTTTCAGCATATGTTACTACAAGTATAAGACTCATAAGCCATAACTCATAACAGGAAAGGCATTATGTGTTTAAGTTGGAATTGTCAAGTTACTAGCGGAACGTTTATGAATGTGGCAAAAACAAATTAAGTCATTAAGTGCACTATTTCACAATTTTAATTTCCCAGTATTGACGATTGGCTACCTTAAAGACAAGGAATTTAACCTTTTCAAAAATTAAGAATCTTAAAACTATGTGCTCAAAGATAGGGAACAGATTACCGGGGCTGAGTTCGTAGAATGAAAAGGCGAACGTGAAGATCGTCCTTGGTGTTTAGGAGTCCAGCGGCCTCCGGCGCCTCGGCCATGTCCCCGATTCATCGTTTATAGTGAATTGAAATTCGTCGGGCTTAATTTAACAGTAGTATAAGAAATCGTCGATTTCCTGACGTCTTCTTGTTTATTGTTTTTGCAGAGGCATAATAAGTGCATAACGAACTGGAGATGTTCCCAAGAACGGAAGAACAGTAACGTGTGGTGGTGGCATCTTCGCGCACCTTTAAGTGCACCGAATTTACCAGTTATTGGACAATTATGTCCTGGTAAAGGCGTGTTTAGAGGGTTTTTAACTTTTGTCAAATTAAGATCATTAACCCAAATTATAACATCTTGCTATCAGTGTGAAACAAATTAGTATTTCATTAAGTTGAATTCCTAATCTTTATTAAGGTTATCTATCTTTTGTTTATAATTATTCCTTTCGTCCCGGTGGACTTTGCCTGCAAACAGGGCCGGTCCTGTCCATTTTTGAGCCAATGGACGGTATCCTATTTTGGGCATATATCCATGATAAACAGTAAACCATATTTGGGCAATGAAGTTCATAAAAGAAAGACGAGAATCACTTTATTATTATATAAGTTACATATTTTGCCAAAAGTAACAACACGAATATTGAATAAAGAAAACATTACTTAAAAACGTTTCTCGTTGACTAATGTGAAGCAAATCATTAATAATTGTTTCATAGACAACCTTCTTTCCACTAATAAATATGAAAAACAATAAAATTGACACATATAACAACAATAATTTTTCTTTTGAAAGGATAAATGAAAAGAAATAAAACCACTTATTGAATTCATAAGTTGAGAATGATTTATTGACCGCTGATGAGAGTCTAAAGTTTAAAGTCTCGAAAGAATCAAGATTTTCAAAGAGAAAATGTTTGGTTGCCAAGAGGACTCGCGCAAGAAGATTGCAAATTTGACGTCCTCTAAAACTACTATTAGGAACTCAAATATAACTTATTGAAATTTGGAAACAAATGAATAATTGGGGTGAAATTTGAGAGAAACGGGCTCTAAAATAATTAGGGAAAATGGAAACTAATAATCCAACCTTTTTACGGTATTCTTACAATAGTCTCACCTTTTCGTTATTCAGGAATAATCCAACCTTTGCGCCTCATCTTCATTCATTGGGTCATGACCTCCTATTCCAAGTTATTTTCTCATCTTTGTAATATATTATACCATAAATCCCACCTTATGGTCACATAATGTTTTGCAAAGATAAGAAAATAACTTGAAATAACAGATCATCAACCAGTTAGGGACCATTGAATGAAGATGGAGTGCAAAGGTTGGATTATTCCTGAATAATGAAAAGCTGGGACTATTGTAAGAAGACCGCTAAAAGTTTAGATTATCAGTTTCAATTTTTCCAAATAATTATATAAATTTGTTATGTTATAATTAAATTGAATAAAAGCCTTAAAAGTTAAAAAGATGTGAGAAGCCGGAGAGACGTGTCTTTTATTTATGTAACAACAATTGTATTGCTTTTAAAAACTACAATCGATCCTGCTAAAAATTAATGTATATATTGTGTTTTAAACTTGTCTCTGTTTAAGACTCTTTATTTATGTTTTAATTTTTCAAAATGTCAACAAAATTAATCATTAGGCCTAATTAATTAAACTTAAGAATAAAAGAAGAAGCCTACTCACACTATATATAAAGAAAAAAAATTGGGTCTATTTTTTCTTCTATTTTTTCGGGCCTAGGGCGGTCGCCCCTCTTGCCCCTCCCTCAGAACCGGCCCTGCTTTTTATTAACCATAAATAAGCAATGTTTTAAGAACTACTTTTATATCTGAATTGAGTGAATGTGGTGAAGAAAGCTTTAACTAATTTCAAATAATGATTTATTTTTTTATTAGTAGAATATGATTTACAATCATTTTTTCACAATTCAATCGATTTCACCAATTCAACTGCTTTAGTCACAAACTTATTATCACTCTACAATCTTTTTTTCACAATTTATTTTTATTAGTAGAATATGATTTACAAACATTTTTTCACAATTCAATCGATTTCACCAATTCAACCGCTTTAGTCACAAATTTATCACTACATAATAGTTCTAAAAAGTCAAAATATTTTGAACATCTAAGCATATCACAAGGCCGGTTTGGTAGCCATAATTTCATTTTATCACCCTTAATTACCGACCAATTTGTTGGAAAAAAACGCAACTTTTAATTTGACGTGCTGAGTTCTATAATAATAATGATTAATATAATTAAGGTTGTAGTTACTTTCTGGCTAATTTGATTGAAGCTACTTTATATGACCATTTTAACTGTTTTTCATATAGGTTTTCCTTTATTTCATTACTAAAATATGTATTTTATATTTTTTCATTATTCAACTGATTCACTCATTTCAACAAGAATTTCACAACTTGAGCAAATTCTAATAATCTCAATGTCACCCGACGAGCTCACAATCCATTCTAGATCCCTCCACTAAGTACACATCTTCTCTAGCCAGACACACTCTGAATAGTCACTCCTTTTATCTTAATTTTAATTTGGTTACAGATTATAAAAAATACTCGCTCCATCCCATTAGATTTTGCCAACTTTCCATTTTTGGCAATCCAAAAAAACTTTGTCACTTTCCTATTCCAGCAACTAATTTGTGGTTCTGCACATTTCTTTTTCTTCTGCACAAATTTCAACCACTTTCCATTTTTTATTTCTCACCTACTTTGCAGGCAGGGCCGGTTCTGAGGGAGGGGCAAGAGGGGCGACCGCCCTAGGCCCGAAAAAATAGAAGAAAAAATAGGCCCAAAATTTTTTCTTTATATATAGTGTGAGTAGGCTTCTTCTTTTATTCTTAAGTTTAATTAATTAGGCCTAATGATTAATTTTGTTGACATTTTGAAAAATTAAAACATAAATAAAGAGTCTTAAACAGAGACAAGTTTAAAACACAATATATACATTAATTTTTAGCAGGATCGATTGTAGTTTTTAAAAGCAATACAATTGTTGCTGCATAAATAAAAGACACGTCTCTCCGGTTTCTCACATCTTTTTAACTTTTAAGGCTTTTATTCAATTTAATTATAACATAACAAATTTATATAATTATTTGGAAAAATTGAAACTGATAATCCAAACTTTTAGCGGTCTTCTTACAATAGTCTCAGCTTTTCATTATTCAGGAATAATCCAACCTTTGCACTCCATCTTCATTCAATGGTCCCTAACTGGTTGATGATCTGTTATTTCAAGTTATTTTCTTATCTTTGCAAAACATTATGTGACCATAAAGTGAGATTTATGGTATAATATATTACAAAGATGATCGAGAAAATAACTTGGAATAGGAAGTCATGACCCAATGAATGAAGATGAGGCGCAAAGGTTGGATTATTCCTGAATAACGAAAAGGTGAGACTATTGTAAGAATACCGTTAAAAGGTTGGATTATTAGTTTCCATTTTCCCTAATTATTTTAGAGCCCGTTTCTCTCAAATTTCACCCCAATTATTCATTTGTTTCCAAATTTCAATAAGTTATATTTGAGTTCCTAATAGTAGTTTTAGAGGACGTCAAATTTGCAATCTTCTTGCGCGAGTCCTCTTGGCAACCAAACATTTTCTCTTTGAAAATCTTGATTCTTTCGAGACTTTAAACTTTAGACTCTCATCAGCGGTCAATAAATCATTCTCAACTTATGAATTCAATAAGTGGTTTTATTTCTTTTCATTTATCCTTTCAAAAGAAAAATTATTGTTGTTATATGTGGCAATTTTATTGTTTTTCATATTTATTAGTGGAAAGAAGGTTGTCTATGAAGCAATTATTAATGATTTGCTTCACATTAGTCAACGAGAAACGTTTTTAAGTAATGTTTTCTTTATTCAATATTCGTGTTGTTACTTTTGGCAAAATATGTAACTTATATAATAATAAAGTGATTCTCGTCTTTCTTTTATGAACTTCATTGCCCAAATATGGTTTACTGTTTATCATGGATATAGGCCCAAAATAGGATACCGTCCATTGGCCCAAAAATGGACAGGACCGGCCCTGATAAAAAGCAGTTCTTAAATCTTTACTTATTTATGGTTAATAAAAAGCAATCACAATAAAAGAGAAATTATATACTTAAAAGATATTCTGAAATGTAAAAAGCAGTTATAAATCTAACTTTAATTTTCATTTTCACTTTCAAAATTTATTAAAAAATTATCTTGATCAATAAAATACCGAATAAATAAATTTAAACGAAACACAAAAACTTAAAATTTATTTGGAAAAAAACCTTAAAAAGATTCAAAAAGAAAAATGTGCGGCTGCATCCAGTCTCCTTTGTAGTTTGTCTATCGGGCAATTGAAAAAAGTTTCATTTTAGACTTGGGACTTCATGAGTTTAATGATCCAGCAAAAATAAACAAGGTTAAGACCGTCACTGTGGGTTAGATTAAGTAATTTTGTGGGGTGTGCAAAGACGACACTCCATCCCTATGAGTTCCCTAGAACTGATCGGGCAATTATCTGGAGGAGGTAAATTGGGTTTTGATGTTGAACACATTGATTGAAAGAGAGTGCATCTCTATACCAAATTTTTGTTTGATGTTGAACCCAAGATCTCTCTCATGTGATGTCATCTTCCTATTAGTAAAGCTACGCCCCACCAGTTATAGAGTACTTCTTTAGTTATTACTATGAGGGTCAGGGTCGGTCCTGGCCAAATATAGGGTGTGCAATGGCACAGGACCCTTAAAAAATGAAGGCCCAAAAATAATTAGTACTATTAGTTTATAACTTTATATGTAGTAGTATATAATTAAAAATTCAACAGTCCAAACTCACATCCCTACTACTAATGGATCACTCCGAAATCGGAAGAAGGCATTAGACTTCATGTCTTCTCGTTAGTGCCTGTTTGAAAAGTCAGAGTATTTCAACAGGTTAGGTTTTCTCGTTAGCCATAAGTCCTCCCTTTCTAGGTTAAGTTTTTATTTTGAGATTATAAAGTTTCCATCTATTTATATTATTGATGTATTTCTTAATAGATTTCAAGAATTAAATAATTGGTAGTTGAGTTTAACAAATTCAAGGTTATTAAGTTGTTAATTTTGCATTTTCATTGATTAAAATGATATGAGGTCATTAGGTAAATACATTTGGTTTCTTTGCACAGGGTTCTAGATTTCTTGGGGTCGGCCTGATGAGTGTATTTTTTTCTGATTCGAGAGAAAGTTTAGTTTTGGAAATAGTTTTTAGTCT